AAAAAGGTTGCAATGGGCAGGAATCAGAAGGGAATTCGATAAGTAGTCCCAAGTAATCATTCTATTCGTCCTTTTATAGTATCAGGGTCACCTATGTACCTGTTTTTCCCTTTTATGGGCCCTTCCTAGGTGCTTTGACTTGTTGAGCAGAATTCCAAATGTTTCTGTAATGTTCGAAGGGGTGGAGCTAACAACAACAGTTGTTATTTTCTGACGGGGCGTGGTCGGACGAGAAGCGACAGTCTCACTCTGAATCCATCCCGATAGTGCACATTCATCATGTTTCAGAATAAACTCTTTTTCCTCATGTACGAAGTCGTGCCCAGTTCTCCTGCACAAACTCCTTCCCAGTTAAAAGCAATGGCCCAATGGTGTGATAGCAAGTAAATCCCATTGGAGGACATTGCTTTCATTGAAAATTCGCTAATTACTTATTCTAATCCTTACTACCTATTAGTTTCTTTTTTGGCCAGCTAATTTGCAAAACAAATCAACAAATTTGTGAACGACGAGGAAAGGGCAATCCCAATGGGTGGGAGGGAAGAGGGTGAAAAGGGTGGATGACCTATTACTATCAACTCAACGTTCGCTTATATTCCCACTCCTCAAAAAGAGTGCAGCCGCTGAAGCTTCCAATCTGACGCAAACTATATTTCGCTCTGAATATTTCCAAATTGGAAGTATTTGACCGCCCTCGCAAATATGACTTACTGCTGCTATAACCCTTTTAGCACCCAATGGTTTTCCCACTGGATCAGATCTTTTGAATAACTGGCAACGAGATCGATCCTCATCATTTGCATCAGTACTTAGGCTGGTTATTGAACTATGAATCGAAGGCTATGAAGACTTTCCGGGATCACTTTAACTTCCTGCCTCGACTTGACGAGCTGTCATCATTTACTTCCATCTGGGATTATTCCGCCTCGAACAAAGACTTTGGATTAGGAGAAGGGAAAAGAGTTGTTTTATGATCATTCAAGGATCATATCGGGTATTCAGGAAGGGGGACTCATTCACCGATTTGGAATTCAGAACGGATTCCAACCCGGGATTCTAACTGTTTTATGATCCTCCCTATTATTTCGACTGATATAATACTTGTGCAGAAGGTGTAAGTATAGGCAAGGGGATACAGCGAGGTAGCCCCTCAGGAATCCCGTCTTCCTTATAAGTTGACCCAAGGAAAACAGCCATGGTCCCGGAACTTGTTGTTTGTAAACTGAAGAAAGCAAACATGTTTACTCTGAAAAACTCAAATTTAACGAAAATCGATTTTGTTTTGGTTGATTGTGAGGCTGGAAAAGCAAGTTTCAGTTTGCCTTTGTTGAAAAGCTATTTGTTTCTCCCAGCTCTTACCTTTTCATTACTGTATTCACAGAAGTAGGAGGCTAAACCTAAGGAGTGGCTGAATTGGCTAAAAAATTGGAGACTTTAATTGCAATGGCTTAATGGCTTACCAGGCTCATGAAGGATAAAAGGATAAAATTATTGGGCTTTGATTAAACCCGTGTGAGGGGTCCGCCCCCGCATTCAACCTCCAGCTCCATCGGGTGAAGAATCCTTTCATCTACATAGCTTCTCAAAGTCGCCTCCCTTTCGCTTCCTCATTCCTCTCTTCCCCCTAGCCACGCAGTTTACTTGTTCGTGTCTTCTGACGGAATTCGTTACAAAATATAGTAAGTTGTGAGGAAGTTTCTGTTATGTCGTCTTTCTGCGTTCTCAGCTAAACACCGAGAAAAGTCCTTTTTAACCCGACTAATGAAGAAAACATTTTTTAGTTGCCTGTGTTTTCGTTCTTTCACAATGTACGCTCTGCTTAGACCTCTCGTAAGCTGTCCGCCCAGTTTTTATTGAATCAAGTCTTTCCTTGGCTTCTGCAGTTCTCACCTTGGTCGGCTTACTTACATATTTTTCCTAGAAATAATCCCACTCAGCCACAGGGACCTTTATTGTCTGGCTCAATAAAGAGAAAAATACGTAAATACGCTTATAACTGACTAGGTTTAATATTCATGAGAGTAGACTTTCTTGTGGATGCCCTTTTCTGAGTCAGTGCAAGTCAGAGTATAGCAGCATATTAGGTTAGCAGTTGCATCTAAGTAATTGGGTATATTTCAGGGAATATAAGAACCTTTCTAACAAAAGAAAGGATGTACGGGAAGTTATGTATGACTGTAAAGTAATGACTGTCTATGAATGTTAATCACATCACTCTCTTACTCGTTAAGATTCCATTAAAGGATGAAGGATAAAGTTTTGGGGTGCGCTTCGTTGCGCGTGTCCGTCGAAACTAGGTCACGCCGCAGCCGTCGCACGCGGCGAGTCGGCCCGCGATATTTGACAGACGTCGCAATTGTCAATGGGGCATACGCTTTGCGTTTGGTCCACGGCANTCAGTTCAAGAAGAAGATAACACAGACAAATGCAAATCATTTGCTCCAACGACACTTGGTGGTACTGTAATGTCATCTCGAGACCTCAGTGTGATGCGCCGCGCGCGAAGTGGGCTGGGTGACCTACTTTCGATGGACACGCGCAACGGACGTTCTCCCGTATTGAATGCGTATGTGGCCTATACAATGACTTGCGGTGCCAGCCGTTGTGCAATTCAGTGCTTTTATCCGCCCAGACGAGTCTAAGTACCAATTAAACGAACCCGGAGAGTTGGATGGTTTGTTGGCCTAGGCGGATAGTGATCGGGAGTTCGTACCCGTGACCATGCGTGTGTGAGTGCGCCACTCGCCATTATACCACCTCTGCCCCATACGATCCTGTTAAGATAAATAATTGAAGTATTTAAAAAAGTACGTGGTTACCTGTTTGCCAACCCAGTACTTGTGGAGATTAGCTAAGATATTATTGGGATTATGAAATCACCTGGTTAACGTGGTATGGTGGGATTACTGTTGCAAAGGGTTCAAGCGCCGGTGGTTCATTTCCTTAGCCTTCCCCCACCCACTTCTCTCTCTTTCACTTCTCTCTCTCATTTCTCTCTACGATGGTTCTTGAAGTTTTGTGAGGCTGTTTAGCTTTTTTCATATTACATTTTTGTGTACGCACATTTCCATAGCATTCTAAATATAGAATCTGTTGTGAAAAGCTTTTATGGCTTTCCAGCACCATCAAGGGCAATTTGTATTCATTTGCATATTTCTTACAGAATTTCGTAAATAGATAAAAATAAATGTTGTTGCTAAAAAGTCTTTGCAGATATGTACATTGAATTCAAGCAATAAGATGGAGCACCAGGTAGGGGAAAGGAATGGGGGGGGGGGGGGGGGGGNGGGGGTTAGCACCTTGCCGTCCTCAGATGGTGCTAGTGAGCGCGGAGGCCGCTTCCATGTAGGTCGTTCTTTTATTGTATTCCCCATAATCGGCTGATTCCTGGTAAATTCTGCTTGTATAAGCTGATTATAGCCATTTACATGCCTATTTTCGGATTCTCCGATAATCATTCTAGTAATAATATGAATTTCGGGGGAATCGCTGTGCGAGAACGGTTTCCCTTCGCGATTTTAAATTCTGAGCTAACTTTTGTTTTCGATTTGTTTGAAATGAGCCCGTCAGAATTGATTTTCGACTGAATATTGCGGGCCAACATACATTTCCGATGAGCTGTCATACCTTTCTCTTACTGTTCCTTCTCGATGGATCAACCTTAAGGCGCGTTCCGATCACAGCCGGGTGAAAATTTTTTGGGGAAGAAGGGCCATCACTCGTCTTCCCCGTCTGCTAAATCGCACTGAAGAGGGTGCACCCGGCTTCATGAGCTTTCAGGAACGTTTTTAGTCAGGGGATGCAGTTTTTTTTGCTAAGTCTCAGGAGGTAAGGGAGCACTGAGGTAGGTGAGTCAATCAAATGTCAACTCACATTCTACCCGACCTCAGTTTTTTGCACGAGGTAATCACCTCACCCCTCTCAGGTTCTCCTCCCCTTCAGGGCCTAGATAGAACTTCACTCCTTGGCCAACAACCGTATTCGAGCCTTGGCAAAGTCGGCTATTCCTCCTTTTGCTCTAGCACTTAGGTTTGGGGTGGATGGGTTACCATCTCCTTTCCCTTTCCCCCAAATGCATTTTCACTCACAGCCAATTTATCGCTTTCTTGTCATACATCTATTCTATTAGCACTCGTTTTGCGTACACTCCCTTTTTATTCATTTTTATTGTAGTCAAAACTTGGGCGACCTTTCAGTCCTGATCTCCCGTCAATTTCAGGGTAGCGGCAGGACTCACTGATGTCATCGGTAATGGGTACGGAAAGCCTCTAGGTGAGTTCTACCCGTTACCACTACATGCAACCATAGTGCTACTGCAGTCAACCATGATCTGAGTTGGTAATTGAGTGGGTGGAGGCGGTCATTTGTATGCCCTCGGGCATCCGGCCACTTCTGAATAGCTCTTGATTCCCGGCTAACAAATCGTGCCCTCTGCGAGTGGGCAGATAAACAGCCTAGGATCCCTCTTTGTAGAAACCGCTCAGAAATTGCTTAGGCCAATGGAGTCTTCTGGCAAGAGTCTAGAAAACCTCCCCGAAAGTCTGGGGTTCCGATTATTTTACAATGGCAATAAAGTTTTAAGGTCATTATCCAGGGGAACATCTCTCAGGCTAATTGAACAGCCGAGTAATTCTCTTAATTCTTGGTGTTCAGTCTGTTCAAGCTCGTCATAGCCCTGTTCCTGTGACCACCCACCGACTGATTTTTTCCATTTTCTCTTTGGAAACAATGCAGCCCTTTTGGACTTGCCGGAGCCGAAACTTTCACTTCCAGAAGTAGCTGGTGGTCTGGTTGTGTGATGATTTCTGGTGGCCCGTGCAACTTCTGCCGTTCTAATATTCGTGATCTGAAAGAAGGCTAAAATGTCGTTTCGTGAAGGTGCTATTCGTGAATCGTCGCTCTTCCGGAGCTCCACAAAACGCTCCACAAAATCACAGGATAGCGTGAGTTCCATCTGTGACTTTTTCGTTCAATTCGTACTTTTTCTCTTCAAGAAACCTCGCTTAAATGGTATATTTAATCAGGCACATCTATGTGCTTCCCATCGTTAACTATTCAGAAGAGACGTTCTTTTTTTTCTGTTGCTTGGAATGGATAGACTCTTAGAATCATGCATTCTCATTTACATTTTATAACAGCCCTTAATGGACACTGAATTTCATGGAATTCCAAATTCCCCTTTATTTTTTGTAGATTTAATTCACACAAAGATTCTACGCCTCAACCCAAGCTATAGAAAAGCGTCTACATCCATTAGATAGGTATCGATCAGGTGCTGATGGATTGAAAGTACGGAAAGCTGATTTGTAGAGTATAAACGCTCTATTCCATGGGTTCTGTTGAAGCTGAAGTGTTGGGAAGCAGCTTTTTTTTACGAAAAGATGTATTATAGATTTATTCGATCGATATTATCGATCAGTAGGCATTTGTTTCACGCGGGTCTTCCAGTTAGAACCGAACCCACATTAAATGAATGCCTATTGATTGATAATATCGACGACTGAATCTATAACAGGCTCTTTGCAGAATGTTGTTGGGATCGCTAAAGGCGGGACGTCTGGGCCATCATGTGGGTACGGTTATGTAAATTCAGCTGATTATCATCAGAAGAATCAGATTTTTCTGACTTTTAGTGGAATTTCCTAGCTGGCTTCCGCTTGTTTGAAAGATTTAGACTGAATGTTGAATACATGGCTCAAACAATAGCGATCAATCAGGACAGAGACTGGATTGTCCCTTTTCTTTTCGTTCGAGTTGTGTTTATTTTGGTATGGTAAACGATCTTTTGGACCATTTGGACTTAATACTGTAATGCTCTATGATAAGTTCCAAAATCGGTCCTTTGGAAACACCATCAAATAGACGGATTGCTATTGCCTGGCGTGTTCTATTCATAGAAAGTTCGGGAACATTTGATTGGATTTCGGGGCCATATTCGTTTTTTTATTCTCCATATTCGTAGTCAATCGATAGTGGCCACGATTGTGATGGTTTTATGAGGGGTTGATTCAGAGCAATTATTTGGAGAGCTAGGGGATGAATGGTTGAAATTGAAATGGGATAGGGAGATCAGTCATTCGGGGCTTTGACAACACCGTTCCATGGCAGTCCTTGGGAACAAACTCGCCCAGAACAATCCAGAATTGAAAGATACCGTTGATTCAGTTGTGTTTATTTTTCTCCTTCTATTTACTGTAAAGTTTGATTCGATAACAAGAGCTATTGCCCCTCCCTCGCAAAGGCAGAACCCTTGGCATGGTCTTGGAAAGGTTGTCATGCATGATTCATTACATATGAGCGAGTACCCGGTTGTTGTCGGGGTTCGGCCAGGATTCGATATCTTAGGTTGAAGTATGCCGGCTTCTGGTCTTTCCCTAAATTGGGATCACGATGATTCAATTCCACGTAATTCTGCGAGGAATCCATAAATATGCAGTCCATAGAGGGACAAATTGATGGAAACAAAAAGTCTCCTTTCTTCTGTCTGTTGTATTACAGTATCCTGCTCATCGATCGTCTCATCAAAAACTTTCATTAATTTCGGAAATTTGGAATGTTTACAAATCGAATTACGACACTTATTATTCCTAGGTTTACCTTGTCCTCCTAACGCCATATAACTTCCTCTGGACGTCCTGTGCCCATGGGTGGGCCATAGGAACCCTACTCGACTACCCTCTCTACCCTTAATCCCTACTGAGTTACGCAAAGGAGCTCCAAACACCTCCGCATGAGTGATACCTTCAAATTACAGCATAGGCGCCCCCCAAATAGTGCTTTTCACTTATTATTTCTTGGGCCCCCTTCTATATCTCAGAGGAAAGGAACCGACTATTCAAGAAAAGAAGAAAGAAAAATATCAAGGAAATGTCGTAGGTGGAATGAGCTCTAAGAGTTGTGTTAATACAGAGAGGTCCCTTCGACCTGATTAATATGCCTTTCAGTAAGCGATAAAACACCAAGTTTCTGACTATTCTGAATTTTTTCCTGAAAAATTTTTTAGCGGATTTAATTATAAAATTTGTTTTGATCTAAAATAAAATTTCCCTGAATCAGTTATCAAAACTGGACTAATCAAGGGTAAAACACTGATGAAACCTTCGATCAATTTCTTATGAATCAATGATCGAACACTGAAGGGGATCCTGGTATCATCAGGGTGATCATAAAGGCAATCACTTGTTTTCAATGGAAAATTCAGGTTTGGTTAGGATTAGGAGTTTTTCAGAACAACGCGTTACTGCACCCGCCCCGATGGCGAAATCCGTTCCCAAGTGAATGCAAAATTCGATTAAATAAAAGCAAATAAAGGCTCTCAGAGACCGACGACAGGGTTGGGGTATGCACACAATCTGCTTTGGCTAGCCATTGTTGTCTACCAACAGGGACAGATTTCATGAAAAGCAATGTCAGGGTATTAACAAAGTTCCAGCTGTTAAACTGTTTCAGAAATGGTTTCATTCAACGGAAAGAATTATTTCTAGAAGATAATTTCAATACCTTCAGCCTATATTCAGAGTCTTAACTTACTTCTTCGATTTTCTAATGACTTTCAGATTTTTTTTACTTTTTCTTGTTTTTTTTTCTCCCGTATCTATGACAGGGCATTGGAGGGCGAGAGTAGGCGCATGGACTTGAAAGGGATCGCGGAAACAAACAGAATTTAAATTTCTGTAGAATGAGTTCGACTATTTTTAAGTCTCAATATTCCTCACTTCAAGTAGGGTACGGATGGAGAAGCTTCGAGATGTCCGTAACCCGAGAAACTTTCCAAGTTTTGAAGAATTCTTATCCTAGGTACGTACTCACCAGGGGTTCCAAGGTATATGTGCATCCTTTTTTTCAGTATAATTCCACGGTTTTTCCCCATACAAAGAAGGCCTGGCCAGACCGGGAACTGTACAGGATAGTTTCATTAGGAACATTTAGACTAGGGCTTTGAGCTCCTCTTAAAATCCTCTTTTAAAATTCTATTTAAATGGCTACAAAAAGGAAAATGATGCTTTACATCGAGTCTCTCCTCTGCAGAAGGAGGGACCAGGATGTCGTACAGCTATACAGGATACTCATAAGGAGGTTTGTCATGGACTTCGGTGATAATCCATGGAAAACTAGTCAGATTCCTTACATGACCGCTAATTTCTTTTTGTTTTGGTTGCTTATGTATTTTTTCCTCCTATTCTAGCTTATGGGGATATTGCCGTTGGACTATGTAGTAGTTTTCCTTTCCCATATAGTTCTTGTACCGATTTTAAATGTTATTAAATTAATAAATAATTCTTTTTGGCCCCAGGCTCAAGGAACAAAAAATGGTTTTAGTCTTTCCCAATCAATTATTTTTTTTTGCCCCTCCAACGTCCGTCTAGGGCTGATAGGCCCTAAATGCTTGCTCGGTTTATGCTGTGACTTAGGCATCGTGAACTCTGTAATTCCTCTTAAAAACTGATGCAAATCTTTTTGCTATAGAGAAAAGAGGCTCATAGACAGATCAGATTTGAAATTTGATGCACTCAGCATAGATGTGCTGTGAGGTATGCCTAATAACCCATGGGTTACCTAGGGTTACCACAACAAATCCGATTACACTTCAAGAAACTCTATTATCACATTTACTGGCTTAATTATATTCGTTGAGACAATTCTAGCTAAAAGAAGGAAAAGACTTGGAAAACAGCCTCAAAAAGCTAAAACAGCTCCTCTAGATGCGCCATGTGTTCGACGTTTCCTTAAAAACCACAAGGGATTTTGAGCGCCAATTCAGTTCCCATGTTTGGCTATTTGAAAAGGTCATCCCATATTTGGTTTGCTTGGATTTCAATTATTTTTCATTAGATAGCTTCGAGGAATGAAGAAGTTTGGTTGGTTCGAGTACACATAGCCTTCGAGTCATCATTGTCCTAGATGAACCCTGAACGTGGAATACGGCACAGGGGATTGAGCTACCCACCTTGACTTAGAAAGTAGACCCAGACAGAACTGCATTGAATAAAAGAGAGAAAAATAGCCCCGGTGCTCTTTGAGTTCAAGAACTTGAAAAAAAGGTTACCCATTCTACCATTTTTTCCCCGAAATTTTGTAGATTGATTATACTAATACGAATTTATTTAATAAGGTCATTGAAGTTCGGGTATTCGAGAAAATACGTTTTGAGTTCAAGACTGACAACCTGGAGTTGTCTCTTCAGCGTCTTTTGAAAATTTATGGTGAGCTACCCGTTTGGAGCCGAGACCTGCTGCCAAGTTAAGGTAGAACCCGCTAATGGTACGGTCCTTTCATTTTGCAATTCCTTGGCTGAGCACTGTATACACCTGTTGAATCGATCGATATTTTGAATCGATTGTGAAATCGAAGTTGCTCTATTTTGATTGTCGTTCACAGTTGACCTTTCGTTCTTTGGCGATGAGACGGCTCATGTACTGCTTGAATCGTTGCGATCTTGTTCTTAAGTACCGTAATTATGGCACGATGGCCGTCGTTGGGTTGTCCAAAAACCAGTATTATCCAACGACGACGAAACAATTTGTACCATCTTAGGCACAGCGAAGACTATTTTCTTCTCGTATTGGAGAGCTTATTGAATGAACTGCAATGGTAGACAGTGTAGAACGCGGAATCGGGAATGGCCTGCCTCGTTCAGGCAGGGTGCTGCGTCGATTGCTTCGCTGTGAAAAAAGGTCAGGGTACTCAAGAGAAATTAAAATTCCGGGCGTCGAATGGCAGCTTTATTGGTTTCCGGGGAATCCAGGAAGAATTTCTGAGCACATAGGTGGGATAATCAATGAAGACATGCAGGACTTCCCTACAATTTTCTTTGACATGAAAGGTTTTCCTCTAGGGGTGAATTCCTGAAATATTTGAAAACAACATGCTGCTTAATTTGTTTTTTTAAAATCTATCCTACAAGAGTCGCTTGTATTCATCAGAGAGCTTGAAGGGCTCTCGTGAATAAAGGCC